GTATGTGTGCACATAAATGTATATGAATATATGTATATATGTTAAACGTAGTTCCCCATTTGACATTCCCTCCTTCCCCTTATTCCTGAGTGTTTTGATTGATTGTGTGTGGCGCTGATCAAAGTGGGTGTGACAACAAATTGAAAATGGCAAAATATATACGAATTACTCTGACATGCTTCATCACTTTCGCAACTTAACACTTATTTATTCCTCTTTCACTTTTTTTTGACAGCCACACACATACACATAAGCGACGAGCTTAGATACAACTCTTTTGCTGTTGCCAACAATTTGTCGATAGTCATGTGTAAATTAAGATTTCCCCAGTGTTCGGTATTAGGAGGGAAGAAAATGTATTGCAACACGATTTTTCATTTTCAAATATATTACATACTCGCAATACATTGACATTGAGATACTTATTGCCCGTGTGAATGGGTTATATTTGAATTTAGATATGGAAATTAGAACAAAATTAGTTTGAACGAATGCTCGAGGGCGAGCGATTACAATTAGTGATTACAATTTTTTTATGAGAGAGTTAATTACAAATTTTGAAAATCTATATAGATAATTCAATAATTATCCGAGTTAGATTCGACAAGCTTTAGTGAGTAGCGAATCGAACACATTATACCAGCTATTGAAATAGACATAAATAAGTACAGGGTGGCGCACGTATCGTGCTAAAAACAAAGAAATAAAAAAAAATAATAACTAGGGTTTCTAAACAATGCATTACATTTTTGTTATTATATAGAAATTTTAATTTATTTTATGTTAGTAATTATTTTTAAAAATTATGGACCGTAAATGACCTCTATGCTTAGCCTTACTCATTGAAGCCTGAAGGGCTGAAGTCGGGAGTGCGTCAGTTATCGATTTCATTGACTGTTTCACTTCAGTCAGATTTCTGCGTTTTGTTTTGAACATCTCTTGTTTGACAAAACCCCATAAAAAAAAAATATGGTGCAGTCAGGTGACCTTGGGTGACCTTTCTTAATTTTAATTTGTTTCAAAATTCATTGATGCTGCGCAGTAACCGGTCTGGCTACATGTGCAGGTGCTCCATATTACTGGAAACAAACGCTGTTGAAAGGGAGTGAAAAGCCTCATTCAACATTTTTAAATAACGGTGCCACCTGAGAGTTACTGTTATACCGTTTTCTTTAAAGAAATATGGCTCGACAATACGTCTTAATGAAACTGCGCAGTGATTCGTTCTTGGTGAAGTTTCGTCTTGTAAATTTTTTCTGCATTTGATTCACTCCATATAAGCCAGTTTTGCTTGTTTACATTTTCCTTTAGATCGAATGGACCTCATCAGTCAAAGAGGCAATTTATCAAATGAGGACAGTTAAATAATTTTTTGGCAAAAATCCAGGTAAATAGGCAAATCTATAGGGTTTAATCGACTTATTATTTAAACTTTGTATCGAAATTGGTTTAAGTAATCACAATTATCCATTGTAATGACCTTCTGCTAACATCAAGTTACACCGATAAGTTGCAATTCTTGGATTTGCCGGAATTGAGGATGCAACAGCCGCGATTATTTATTGCACACGAACAGACGGATCGCGATAGTACGGTCTTCTCATAATGATCCATCTACACGGGAGAGTGCCGCCAAAATCCAGTCTGAACTCCCTTTGGACGGAAATGACGGACTACAAAGCTTATTTTGCACAAAGCATTCAGTAAAGGACATGAAATGAACGAAAGCTTGAATTATGAGAGTCGTCTATGTAACTCTGTTAATAACATCGAAAATTTAAGCAAGCAGTGCTTGAAAATCATCAAGTTTGTATTAGAGATATCTCAACATCTTTTAGGGACCATATCCATCACCAAAAAACATGAATTTTACTACAAAAAAGGTGCTGAGTAGAGGTCGTAAAAGAGATGCTCGACAAACGCAGCTGCATCAATACTGATGCTGAGGCGTGGGTTTATGAATATGACATAAATAGGTTTTTCTGGGTTTGCTTTTTCTATAAAATCTAATTTCCCTTCCATATGCGTAGAAAACTATGAATTATGGTGTATATGCAGTAGTTGGTAACTTTTTGTCTTTTAACTTTTGCTTCTGCCCTCAATGGCATTGCCAGAGATCAGCTCATATTGAGCTTCAAATGTCGCACGCCGTTGTTAATATCCAAAAGACCTTTGAATGTTTCTATCAAGTAGTCAATAAGATTTTCCATTTCTTTGGTTTTCAAAGCACAAACTTAGTTGGAATCCATCCAGTACTTCTCTAGAAAAGCACGTATACAAATCTTCGCCGATTGTATCCAACAACGAAATGTACACTGACAGTGTGTCCTTTGCAAATGTCTGCGTAAGAAACATTTTCGCGTTTTGATTGTCGGCCGCAGATTCTTGGTTTTTAGTCGTCAACTTTCAGTTCTGTCGCCAATTTTTTCTTGTCTGAATAAATAGATCTAAAATGTACCTTAGTTTTTACTTTTCGATTTTGGTCGTTACAAGCAGCGTTACTATCATATTGGATGGAATTTTTTCCATTTCCCCTCTCTGAATTCGCCGCTGTATAGTATCACTTCTCGCATCCACAGTGACATCATCGGCCTTAGCCTTCACAACATTGAAATAAATTTCTCATTACTACTCTCTTTCTATTCTATTACTGTTATTATTAAATTCCAATCAGGCCACAGTTTTAAAATGATGAGAAGAGTCAAAAGAGAATACATGTACATTTTTTGAATATAAAAAGTGAGATTATGAAAAAGTTACATAAATCATATTTGTTTGTTGTTTTGTGTTTTAGTCTCGGAACAAATTTAATCATGTAAAATTCAATTAACACAAAACTTTCAATTTCTCATACATAAATATGTACACACACTGTTAAATATGCATACTTTTTTGCTTACCGTCAAACATTTTTTTTTGCAGTTTCGTGATGTCGAAGACTGCCAGCTGGGGCTACCTGAAGAATGGCAAATTCGACGGCATGATAGGAGCGTTGGTACGCAAACAAGCGGATATTGGTGGCTCGCCGATTTTCTTTCGCATCGAACGTGCCAAAGTGATTGATTACACGACACGAACGTGGGTGGCCAGGTGAGCAAGCGGGGTAAAGCACACAAAACACTCATACAAACAAGCCGATAAATAAAGAGAAAAAATTGCTGGCTGAGCGAAAGTGATAAATGGTAGAAAAAGCGGGGGCAAGTAACAAAAAGTCAGTGGGTGTCGGGAAGTCAAAGTAGACAGTTTGGTTTTTTTGGTGCGGTCGACGATGGCTGTTATTCACAGAGCTGTTGCTTTTTCTGTGTGTTATTGCCGCGCAGTTATTCAGCAAGAGTGCTGGTGGTGTGAGACTAAAAAAGTGACTTACACTAATTCCTAGCAGTGGAAGAGCACAAGCGGTCAACCGCTCAACAGCCACGTGGCGCGCCGAGCTAAAGCTCTTATTCGTGATTGGAGTGTTGGCTATTGCTGTTGTTGTTATTTACATTTGTCGACTTTTTTCAAAGTTCTTTTTTGTCATGTTTAGCACAACAATAATAGTTGTTATTGCATTTATTGCTTGTGGTTCTTTAGCAAATTTTAAAAAGCAATTTGTCGAAAGCTTTGCACATGAAAGCGCGGCCACAGTTGAGTGATGGCAACGCGTTTGATGTGAAGGCCTTGTCGGCACCAGGAATTGCATTATGTGGTGCTTTCGCGCCAGCTTCGCTTATTTCCCTCTAATGCTTTTATTGTTGTTATTGTTGTTGCCTCACCTGTCACCTTTGCTGCTCGCGCCGCACTTGTTGGCGTTATTGTTGCGGTTTATTTAATTTCGCATATTGTAAGCTGTCAATGGCATGAAAAATGATATCAGCACGACCGACACGAGACCCGACGCCGTTTAACGCTCTAACTTTTTTTTGCCATTCACTTTGCATTACCGTTATTTGTGTATTGTCGCCAATTGTTGCTTTTGTGTGCAATGTTGTTGTTGTTTGTTGTGGTTTTTGTTGTGCCGCGGTGTTATTATTATTGCCAAGATAAATGTTTGTAAGTTTAGCCTTTGCGGTTGACACGCATAAATCTTGTGGACAAAATATCGCCAACAAAAAGTCGCACAGCGTGGCAACTTATGTACATATCTTGAACCCCGAACAATGACATTAGTTTGTTGTCTTTATTTATAACAACAATAAATATTTATATGTGTATTAGTTAGCCATTGACAGTTGCGTGCGGAGTGTGAGTGTGAGTGTGAGTGAATACCTGCACACTGGTGGCTAATTTTGTTGTACGATTTCTGTTAGGCTAACACAGTATGTCTGTAAAACAGCAGTGGTTGTTACTGAAATTTCTCTGAGATGTTGCGCTTGAACTTTTTGCTTTCAGTTAAATGTTTTTTGTTCTGTCTTGAGGGAAACTATTCGAAAATTTCTAGAAAAGTATGAAGCATTCTGTAATATTTTATTATAATATTACGTTCCGATCGACACTTAATGTGAGTGTCATGAGATTAAAGCTGTTAAGTATATTACCTGACTAATCTTCTAGATTTGATCATTTGTTAACCTCGTCACCGAGGAGATTCGAAGTGAATCGAATAGAAATTTCGTATTGGTCAAAGAAACATAAATCTTCCGAGATTTAGCGCATGGTGAATATCTGGCCAGTTGTTGATGTTCCAGGCCTACAGCCACACTGATAAGGTCCAATCAGTTTTTCGACGGTTTTCCGATTTTAATCTTTCACACAACAATTCGAACTTCTTCTTTCCGGGTCGGGCAATGGAACCAAAAACGTTATTTCTTTAAACGAAGATGGAAAAAACTTAGTACTAAAATATTTTTAAGGAAACTCTTTTAAGTAATATGAACGTTTTGAAGGATACCGATGGTGTAGGAATGCGATTATAGAGCTTCTTTTATTCAACCGTTGGCCAGACATACGAGCTTTTAGACCCTATCGATTACAAACCAGGCTCTGCCCACTGATTATTGGCGTTAGAACTCTGTTAACCAACAAGCTACCAAGTGGAGACGGGGAATATTGCAATCTTGACTTCTTCGTAAACATTTTTTTTTCGTGGCATAAAAAAAATGAAAGTATAACTTCAAATAATCGATGTCTGGATGTTACATGTGCCGCAAGCCAAAACCCACAAGGAATTGTAGTGATCATTAACCGTTTGAGCTTCAAACATATGTATTTATGAATTACACAAACGGTATTTCTTTATAGATCGCTCCGTGATGAACAATATTAGTTCAAAACGAACTCGCATCATGTGTGAGTGCTTACCAAAAGTTCACTTTTAAAAATAAGATTGTGACGGAAAAGCCAATTTTATTGGTTCGATTTCGATAATTGCAGATTTTAATTAGTACCTAATTATACCCTGAAGGCGGAGACTCTATAAAATATATACATGTAGAAATTATCAGTATGCTGAGCATATTTAATTTAGCCAAGTCCATCTGTAAGTTTGTATATACCCAACCTAGTGCTTAATTTTTCCATATTTTGGATCTGAAATCGCGCATTCGTTTCTTTTTCCCCAAGTAGCTGTATATTTGTCGGCCGTCCATCCAGGCCATGCTAAAATCTACGAAGAAATTCATTAGATCGGTAAACTATGACCTTAGCAGCCATATCATGATCAAAAGTTCTTTTTTGGAATCTTAAAATATTTTAAACTTATTTTACTTTTCATAAATTTGAGAATAAGCCCAGAGGAAACCCATTTTCATATAATACCATGGTTAAATAATATGCGAATATTAAATTACCATTTCCATGTAAAAGTTATCTGTAACTTTCATCAGACCACCACTGTAGTCGTGTCGTGTCACTTCGTTTGGTGTCTACGGTTTTTCACCACACTCCGCCGATTAAATACTCATTTCTCTTGTTAAGCGGTGCAAATTTATGCGCTGCTCAATTTTTGCGTCGCGCTTTCGCGACGCTTCTTATCGCCGTGCGGTGATTTGTTGCACGCGTGCTTGTTGCTGCTGTTGTACTTACGCTCATTGCACCCGAGTTCAATTTTATTTGCGTTCTTTGATTTGTTGTAGTCATTCTTTTTGCACGCCACTTCACCTCCAGCTGTGCTAACGACAATTTAATGCTGCCGTTGCCGTTGCCGCCTCGCTGCTTGCGTCGCTAGCGCTTAGAGACCGGGTTGCTGTTGCTGCAGCTCCCTTGAGTGTGGAAAGGTCACGCCAACAGCTGACTTGACAGCAACTTAAGTGGCAATGAGACGCTGACTTAAGAGCGTGTTGTTCGTGTAGGCAGATGGCAAACGACACGGCGTTGGACAAGCAATTTGTTTTTAGTCGCCGCCGTTCGCTCACTGCTCCATGCCACGTACACGCCGAAGATTGACACATTAATTGAAACTAAATCCTGTCGGGGACATGTTTGCTGATTTAATTTCTTTGTGTAAAATAAGATTTATGTTTGTGGCTTTTCACCTGCTGCGCTGTTGGTTTATTTTGTGGGCGTGTCAGTTGATGAGGGCAGATTGCTGGAAGCTCTCTACTGTGTGGAATTGTGTGCTTGTCTAATAGTTTGGTTTATTATTGTAATGTCTTTTTTATTCGTAGGCCTTGCTTCATATTTCGTCATCCGCCGAGCACCAAAAAGGATCGTATAGTGTTTCTGCAACCCTTTTCAAATATAGTCTGGATTTTATTGGGATTATGTGGCATATTCACCATCTGCTTACTGTGGCTACTGACATCGGTGGAGCGTCGCTTGGAGGCGGTGGGTGTGGTAAAGCAGTTGGGTAGGTTTAATTTATAGTGGCGAAGAAGAATCGCAATTTCGTGAAATTTTGTGCATAATGGTTAATTCTAAGTTTGATATAATTCTTCATACACTAGTGCATATTTTGCAACCTATGATCTAGAAGTAGTTGTATTATATATACGAAACTTTTGGATAACTTTTGGATCTGCCTGAAGCCTCTTTCATATAATAGGAATCAAAAGCTTTCGAAATCTTATTACTTTGAGGCGTTAAGCAAAATATTATTTGTTGTTGCCGTTTAAAGGTCTACAGAAACTTAATTAATTCATTGCTTCACATGGGAGCGAAGTACTTTACGGATGTAAACAAGCATGCGGAGAGCGTTGCGGTGGAGTGCTCGGTCGGTAATTATCCACTACTTCCACTTTTAGCCTCCCTGATCACTCCAGCGACTTCCAAAGGATCTACTAAAATCCCATACTTCGGAACGTAACCTCAATCAAAGTGGTGGTATCTATCCACATCGAAAGCTGGAAAGCAATAGTCTTGTCCTCGCTGACAGAGAGCTCAAGACTAATAATGTCGTGTATAGATGCCAGAGATATACTTTTTGATTTTGGTTTGGATGCCTGGGTACAGCGGAGTTGATGGAAACTGCCAGGTACCTACAGTTGTAGGCTTACTGATTAGTCCAGCGACATCCAAACGGAAGTGGCTAAGAAAAAGGTGGCAGTAATTTCATTTTTCCGGAACGTGACCTCATTCAGAGTGGTGTCTACGCACATCAAAAGCAGAAAAGCGATAAGCGTGTCCTAGCTGACGGTGAGCTCGATTGATTACATGTATACACTCCTTATCTCTGGCATCATTTATGAGTTTGTTTTGGATGCCTGGATACAGCGGAATTGATGAAAACTGCCAAGTTGATGAGTCTGCTAGGTCAGGCATATCAGTCTTACTAGCTTCAGCATGGAAATGGGTAGAAGCTCCGTTGGCTTCTTACGGTTCATTTATAGATTATTGGGTCTCAGGCCAGATAGTGTAGCGAAAAGTTCGCCCTCAGAAAAGTCTACGTTTCAGTGGTTATATGAGTTTTTACTGAACCTTCGCTAGATCAGGTATACAAAATAAAAGCTATAACATCTGTTCGAATTTTTAAGTTTTKTGCAAAGATCTTMYATTGTTAATACTTRRCAACACTGTCTTGATAYCCACACTAATGTCTCATAGCCTTAAATATAACAGGTTAGTTGTTGGTCTAATTATGTCTATAAATCTTGTCATATAAATCTTTCAAAAATGAATTAAAACTTGGAAAAATGATGAATGTAGATGTTTTGGTCTCTCAGAGCGAACTTTTTACTCGAATTTGAGTCCATCGACAGGAATAAAATAGTAGCCTGCTGAAAGAGCAGACCGCAGAAAATTCTGCTTTCTTATGCTTAAACATCTTCACAACAACTGACATATTTATAGAGTACGGACACTTTAGTGTTTTGGCTCTCAGTCCTTTTTCAGCTTAACAAAATGATAGCCCAGAATCAAGTAACAACCTTAAAAGTCTATTATATAATATTCTGACGACGCTTATTTGCAAGAATATCAGTTAAGTACTACTATTTAGCGGAAAAATTCGAGCTCACTCGTGTCATTAACGACTTCCAGTTCCCATCAAGCAAAACTAATCGATTCACCAGAACAAAGTTGCGCATTAAATGCCATTAAATTATCGGTTATTACGAATTCCGATGATAAAATTTTTCGCGCGACGAACGCGATTTTGACTTTTACTATTTGCCGTCGCTCAGACAAAAGTTTGGCATTTTCTTTTCACTTTAGTAATTTTTATAACCTCTGACGATGGCAATTTCATAAAACACCATTTAGAAGGAAGACGAAGGCATGCCGAAGAGCAAGAATGCCGATAGACAGTGCGAACTTTGTGAAAGTATAAATCAAAACTTTCAATTTCCAAGCAAACCAAAGGGCCAAAAATTGCAGCAAAACGCCGTTAGGATGCATTGCAAGGCACACGGGACGATAAACGCCGCAATGTCGAGTCGAAGTGCATTGGCACAGTGGCAGTCACATACAATGCTTGCTATTGATAACGGAGTGTACGAGGGTGGTTCGATAAGACAAAAACTAAGGAAGGTTAATAGACTTCATCGGAAAGGTTTTGTTGGTGGGTTGAAAAGGGAGGTGCAGAAGTATCAGAACACCCGGCGGCTGGACTTAGACTATCATTATGTCTATTGTGCTCCCTGGTTTAGCTAAATTAAGTCATCTCAGCAAATTGGTAGATTTGGTAAAATATCATTTTTCACACCAGCTGCCCTATGTCTCTTAATTTGGAACATTGAGAATGACCCGCCTCACCCGACTGAAGGCTAGTCATTCGCAAGTAATGTTCCAGCGTCTCATCTGCATTCCGCCGATTCCACTTTTCCAATATTTTGAAGTGATATCTTAAGGGTGGTGCCCCATAAAGACCCCTACAATATGATTAAGTATATCTGTGCTTAGAAGAAGAAGCTTTTTGGTCTATCCACCATCTGCATTACCGCAAAGTAACTTCGTAGTATGTCTCGTGTTGGTAGTGTTCCAAGATCTAAGGTGTTTCTCTAGGTCTACTGCATCAAGCAACTGTTGTAAGAGCTGCATGGTTTGGAACAGTCGTGTACTCGTCTGCCTTTTCGTTTCCTTTCATTCCCATATGGCTTGGCATTGGAAAAAAAATTGTCAGTAGATGATCAGGAGTGATAGCAGGAACAGTGGAGAATGCTACTGCCTTCCTTCCTTATCGAGCAAAATGTGTGAACAGTTGAGAACGTGGCAAAAATCAGCCATCTTTGTTAGTTTTCATTTGAACAATGTTGCCATTGCTCAATACGCATATATAGTTTTGTACACATCTATGTTTTTAATTAAAATTTTTTATAATATAACATATCAAAACTGAAAACAAACTATTAAAAATTTTAAATAATAGCATTCGACTCTGATTTTGAGTTATTTTAAGAAAATTTCAGACATATTGAACAGATTGAACTATAAAAGTTGATAATTACTACAGTAAATAGATATTGGCAACCCTGCGTTGTGAAAGAGCAATCAGCTGACACGTTTCTATGGCAAAAATCCAAATGCCGTGAATTCGCACGTCATTTTACGTCAAAGAGAGAAGGGAGTAGCGTTTTTCACTGCGCACTTACATTGCGCTCCCATAAGATGGGTGGTATCGGCTGACACGGGCCACGATTCTGCCTTCTCCACTGCTCCTGCTATGAGGCTTAACGTCAGTATTTAACTATTTGACAAAAAAAAAAACCCAAGCTCAGCTAAGTCTCCATAAAGTCTTTTCCAAAGGGTTTGAATCTCTGTCAGGCCTTCTCTCGGCCTAGTCATACCTATTCTACAGCTTTCTGTCCAGTTATTGAATTCAGTTCGAATGATGTGGGCTACGCGCTTGATCAGGACCTTTCCTGAGCTGAAAAATATTACACAATTCTTCGCCACTGTGTTATCGGACCACCTTCGTACCCTCATCGCGCTGGTGATTACATGCAGTGTGCACTGTGGCTGACTGCAGGGCATGCTGGGACACTTCGAGCAAATATCGTCGGCGAAAAGTTTTTGTGCGGCACGAATGCGTGCCTCTGAAAAATGAGAGATCATTGCCATTAAATTCTCAGCTCCATTGCGTACATGGCACATGCTCGTGGTACTACGCAGTTGTTTTTTTTTTCTGTAAAATTTTGGACGTTATTACTTGCTGCGCCCGAGGTCAAAATCTACTAGAAACTCTTTTTTAACTCACATTCCACTCCTTCCTTCCGCACTAACCTACCGCTTTTTGCTTTATCCTTTCATTGATTTCGCCAACAATTGACTCCCTGGTGAATGCTGCGACACAAAAGGACACAGCACGCGCAGCAGCAACATGAACATCGGAGGCACCACCGCCAACAACCAACAAGCGAGCGCAATCGGCGGTAATGATGAACTACCACCAGTTGGTTGCCGCTGTTCCACACGAACGACGCTAAGTGCCGGGACAATGCTGAGCTGCGGCGCTCGCTACGCGCCGTCGGTTGCCGCAGCAACAAAAGAGCAACGGAAACAAAAGCCGGGCAAGTTGATGCAACGAAGTAAGACGGAAGCGCGAAAGAATGTGCAGAGTATTAGCTGCAGGCATTGCATGCTCGGCTGCGGCAGTGCGTGCTGTGGCCAGGCAGGCAGCGTTGTGGCACAAGAGCGCGTTGGCTTGTTCTTCGAGTCGGTGCTGTTCTACGTGGGTTCCATATGCCAACAAGGTAAGTTTGTCGAAAAACTACTACTACAGTAGTACATAATGTTAGCGTTAAGGGCACGAGGAGCGAAGAGGGGCGCTTTGAAAACTAATATACGCAGGAACTTTGGCGAAACATACACATAGAGCAAGCTCTCGAGAAATTTTGGGTTGCACAAGTGAGTGGCAGTTACATGTAAGCTGTAGCAGTTGCGTGTCTGTGTTTCTGCGTTTGAGCTCTTAGTTTTATTGGCATGTTTGGTAGCATGTGTGGTATGCAACGCAATTTATGCGCTCACAAGTTTACTTTTCAGCTTTGCTTTCATAACTAAGCACACTACTTTCCCAGGGTGCGGCTCACGTCTCTCTCTCTCTCTCTATCTCTCTGTTTGTGTGCGCTACCTTTTCGGGTTGGAGGTTCTTGAGTTCAATTTCGTTTGTTTGGCTTTGTTACAAGACTTTCCCATTCTTGTAAACATAACTGAACAAATTGCTAGTGAATTTGTTGTGGCAAGACGTGCATCGGCTTGGAGAGCGCAAACAGTGCTTCTTCTTACAAATTTGTAAGAAATGCTTTTGAAGCGGAAAAATTGTGCTAAGTCAACACCGAGTAATGCTAGGAAAATATTGCATTTTTATTTAATTACCGTTATTATTTTATTATTTAATTAGGTCAGGCTCAGAGCGAGTTAGTTGTTTGCTGTGGCTCAGAATGGTGAAATGAAAGTGAAAGCTTTTCTGCCGTTAGTGAGCTTTTATTTAATAAGGAGAGACTGAAAATTATTAATATATTATTCTAATCTAATTGCATCAATTCTTTGAAACGTGGGTCCAAGTCTTGGTCTAAACTTTTTTTATTCTGCTATAAAAAGTTTTTTCTATTGGTGATTATCTGGATTGCTGCCGAAAACTGCTTATGTGACTTTGATTCCGAAGATGGGTACAGTTGCGTATAACTGTGCTTCTGTTAATACTGCTAAATGTGCAGGAGAGTTGAAATCTAAAGTGCAAGGTCGTGCTCTCTGAGTATTGATAGTCAGTTCTGCAAATAATAGATGTTCAGGTTTTGTAAGATATCGAAGACGCTGAAATTTCGGATCCCAAAAATAAGTAACCCTGTCCTTTAAAGGATGTAGCTACCTATCAGTTATTTTCACTATATATAACCCTTTATCTTATTATCAATGAAGTCTGCTGTGTTTAGCTTATGAGTTATGCTTTTGCAATTAATATTCAAATAATAATTTTCGAATAGAACTTTTTTGTGATAATAACGGTTTTTTCTTTGTACATTTGCCTTCAGTAAGGTTCGCCATTTCATTATTGAAAGATATACCAAAAACGTCTCGAAATTATTAAATTAAATTATAGTCGTCATAATCACCATCTAAGATCAACAATTGAGGGTCTGGTGGAAAAATTTGAATCCACAAGCACAGTARAAARTGTTGACGTGTCAGTGAGRCAAAGAAGTTCCGCAGTGTCGAKAATACTGCTGCCGCTAGCGCATCCGTTGAGGAAGACCCAAACTCCAGTCTCAGTGACTCTCACACGTCTTTCTGAAGCATAGATCATCACTGTGACGTCGCTGTGGCGAATTTAGTGAAAATATCTTGGCCTGTGTCCTTACAAGATCAAATTGACTCAAGAACTGAAACCGCTTGATCACCAGAATCCTAGTATGTTCGTGAATTAGGCTCAGTAACAACTTAAAAAGGATCCGGATTTTTATTAAAAAATCGTCTTGTGTGGGTCATTTCTGGCTGAATGGCTTCGGCAATAAGCAAAATATGTATTATAAGTCAGGCAGCAATCCACGCGTACTCCATGGGTCACCATTGCATCCCAAAAAAATTACGGCTTATGAGCCGACGGCGTCATTGGGCCGCACTTCTTCCGTGATGATCAAGATCGGCACGTTACTGTGAATGAGAATCGCTACCGCCTAATTATAACCGAATATTTTTTTCCCGAACGGACGATATGTACTTGGACATATCGGTCGTTCCAACAGGATGTTGTCAATAGCCACACAGCGAATGTTACAATCGACTTACTACATCAAGTATATGTCATTTATATGTATCTATGTCAACAAGACAGCGATGTTAGATGAACTTCGATTATCGAACCAGAAATTGCAGCATTTTCGGGCGATTTATGCTTGAAAACCGTCGAAAATTGGATTCAGCGTCTGGAATTTAGCAAGCGTTCCCACGGTGGTCATGGAAAAGAAATTGAGTTCCATACAGAATGACACGAAATGTACTTTTACAGGAATAAAGAATTTCATTGATATCCCAAATCGCTTTGTAGCACTCTTATTGAAAATCCGTTATATTGGCTAAGAGCTCTACCAAAAATCCGTCGTTTGCTTGGCGTCTAGAAATTTGTAGTATAGAAATTTGTAGTATTCTATATTTGTTGAAAAAGATTAAAGGCCTTATTTGTTCTCATTGAATGGAGAAACATCAGGATTATGGATCTAGACATCAAATTTGGATGTACGTTCTCGTATCCTTTAAGATGAAATATGTATAATATTTAACAGTTACAATAAACGAATAGCGTTAAGTTTGTGTGTAATTAAACATAGTGACGTATCCATAAAAGTTTATCTGAACTTTTGATAGAACCCAGTGCATTTCTTCTTCGCTCTCATGAATGCTGATCGAGTCAACTTCTCTGGAAGCAACATATACTTATTTGCTCATTTAGCTTGCAAACCCAAGCAACCACACCCTCCGCCATAATGAGTGGAGAAATTTAAACTGATTACCTTTTCGTTGCCATTTCTTCTCCTTCTCCTTCTCCTTAAACATAAACTACCATCGATTTTCACGTCATGACACGTTTTGTAGAAATCTATCCAACAACAAAACGCATTAAATTGCAACAATCAATGCAATTGGGCAACAGCTAATGGGTTCTGTTTCTGCTGCTGAGTGGTTGAGAAAATAGCAAAGTCATTACCGTTGTTAGCGTCTGCCGCTTGCGTTCGGACAAGATTGTGTAGAAACACTAAGTACTGAACTTCAAGGTGGAAGATTTTATATATTACAAGGCGAGTACTGTTTGAAACTTGATTGTATTGGCGGAGCAAGAAATTAAGAAATGGGAGGTGTACAATTCGAAAACTTCGAAGTATTGTGGATAAATAAATGAGCTCGTTAGAATACACAACGGTGGGTGGAGATCGTAATGTTGCTAATTACTTCATTCGCATTTTACGAGTAAACATACGAGTACCATACATATCTGTGAATCGTAGGATTACAATGTTTCGATGATTTGGGGATATGTGCTTTGATGGTTAAATTTTAGGATTATATGTATGAACTTCCGATAAGTTAAATGGTACCACTATTTTTTTTTTAATATATTTTTGGGAATGTCAGAATAGTACGAATGTTGAAAATATCGTTCACTTCGATGTTCACGAGATGCAAGAGTGTGAGTTCAGCTGCATGTTGCATAGAGAAATCAGATCTAGCATAATTCCATTATAATTGGATCAGAAGTGAGCTTTTCTAGATCTGAGGTCTTGTGGGAATGAACATAAAACTTAATATTTGCTAGCAAGGACTTCCTCCGATTCTCGAAGCATAGCTGAAAGCAAGTGATGTTGTTGTGCGGAGAAGTCTACGAAGCATAATTTCATATTATCAATGATATCAATATTGCTCTTAACTTCTTCGACGAGAACTTAGCAGCTTTAAGACTAAAAATCAGTATATTGATAGGAAAATAGCAATTTTTACTTCAACTTGGTTACCGAGTCCACTCTTCAGCATGTGTATATATTAGGGTGATTCAAAAAACATTTTTTTTTCGTTTGGTGCTCTGAAAAATGCGTTTCTAGACATCTCTAAGGAAGCCTCTCCAAGAATGAGTTCYTATTTGTAACGGGAAGGTCCTCCTACTTACAATTTTCTATTTATGCTTATTATCATATAGAAAGTTTTATATCTCGCTTCCAGCTACTTGAAAAAATATCTTGTTCCTTAGATTTTGTAGGAAATTGATTGCTCTAAAAAAAGGTCTGTATGGTTTTTTCATAAACCCAACCGTTTAAAAGATATTCACAGTTAAAGTTTGATTATTTTTGGGAAAATTTTTTATTTCCTATGAATTTTATAACTCAATGAAATAAAATCATTATGAATGATGATAATAATCAACAAAAAAAGATTTTCCTGAGATCTTACTTTAAAAACTAGTTTCATTTCCATATACTTTCTATTAATGACAAACGAAAATACACTGTCCTCATCTTGTCCGCCGCCTGCACACTATGTAATTCTACTTTATTTAGTCTCTTTACTCTAGTCTAGCCTTGTAAGATTAATTTCGACAGCATTTTGGTGTGTGTATGCTGTATGAGCATGTGTGTCTCCCATTTGTTCCGACAAATTTTATTTCGTTTACTATTAGTCTTCATTTCTTCAATGAAAACTCATTCGTATCGACTGCTTGCTGCCGTCTCTCATTAGGTCTGACATTTTCTACAAGTTTCTTTTCGGGTCGTTGCATCGTTATTACCAGTCTRCTCTTCGCCTTTGCCATCTATCAATTCTATTCGGCCAGCATTGTGGGTACACTATTGATGGAGAAGCCGAAAACGATACGAACATTGCGTGATTTAATACACAGTTCGCTGGCAGTCGGTGTGGAGGATATAGCATATAAYCGTGACTACTTTTTGGTAAGTGATTGGAAGTATTGAATATGATATTTGGGGTGAGATAAATTTTATATAACAATTTAAAGCAATATTTATTGCCAAGAATAGRTTATGCCTRYRTTAAGTTTGTCACGAAGTTTGTAACACACCGCAAGAAAGTAGGAGATTATATGAAATATTTGTATAAATGATCAGCATGATGAGTTGAGTCGATTTGGACATCTCC